GTGTCGTTATAGCATCCCCGGGAATCACTTTGCAATTTTTACAGAGTCTTCTATTTGTGTTTCTAACCAAAAGAAAATCAATTTGTGACCTTGAAGCTCTACTTTTGTAAGTGATGAGATGTTCATATCTCTTCTTGAACAATTGTTGGTAATTTTAAAATCACATCCAACGAGAAATCAAGAAGAGTTTGTCCTTCATTAGTTAGCTCTTCAAAACCAAAACCACCATACACCCTCACATATTGACCAACCTCCCTCCCGACATGCCCATTAAAGTCTCCTCCAATAAAAATCTTTTTACTCTGCGGTATGTGTTGAATCAACCCCTCCAGATCCTCCCAAAATAATTCCTTAAGACTAGCTTCTATCTCAACTTTAGGTGCATAAGCACTAATAATATTAACAGTCTCACGTCTAACTATCATTTTTAAGGAAATAATTCTGTCTCTAATTCTGCTAACTTCTACAAGGTTATTCTTCCACTCCTTATCAATAATGATGCCTACTCCATTACGTGCGCTTACTTTTTCTGTATACCAAAGTTTGAAGCCTTGAATATCCTTAGTCTCTTTTCCTCGCCATTTTGTTTCTTGCAGGCATTGGATATTAATTTTTCTTTGAATCATAACCCCTACAACCTCTATAAATTTACAATCTAATATTCCAATATTTCAAGTACTAAATCTAATCTTGCTCTCATAAACTAATCTCTTTAGCTGTGCACGTCCAAAATGACGTGGTAGTCCTTGCTCATTTAACACTACATCTGGGGACCGATGTAGTGGCTCTAACTCACTTATCACTATACTCGGGCCATGCAATGTGTTACTTACGGCAACGACCTAGTATTAATATTATAATGTCTATTGTTCATATTCATGATAGATTCAATAAAGTTTTATGTTGGCTGTTGATGGCCTAACACAACTCTCCTCCTTTATTCGGGCTTAGGATTGGCTATAAATAAAAGCGGAGTTTCCTCAATCACCAATAATTAATATATATATATATATATATATATATATATTTTAATTACATTGACTTGACTCCAAGAGTCTTCCCCTCCCTTGCAATCAAGCTAAGCACGAGAAGATACATTGCCCAAGCAAGATTAGGATTAATGGCGGAGAGGTTGTGAGGGGCCTGGGTTTCTAAATCAGAAAATTAAGTTGAGCTGCATAGCACTTATCCATCGACGATGGCGGATATTATTTCGCCGGCTTTTATATTTATTTTAGGAAAGGAGGCTAAGAGTATAATTGAAAAGGGTCTGAAGCATGGAAGAACAGCTCAAAGCTTCAACAGCACGGTTGATCTAGTGAGCCTAAAGCTTGTGAGAATTGAACAACTCCTCGAGACGACGTCGGACTAGTCAGCCCAGGACATAGAGGCTTTGCGAAGGATCAGGACAAAAATGCAAGAGGTTCGGGATAGATACTCCAAAATCAGATTCTGGAACCGCTGCATGGCGCCAAGTTACCAGGAAGAGCTTGAGAATGCACAAAACGAAATTGCACGTTTATTAACGATTTGGGGTGCGGCAGTGACGGCGGTGACTGTGCTCGAAGACCAAGCCGACCGACTTAGGGATACTATTCCCAGCAATGATAATATTCGACGAGCAATGTTTAACAGTGGGATGGAACAGTCCGTTGATGACAAATTTGAAGTCCAGCCTCATGAGAGATGGCGGAGACCGGATCCTTAACTTGACTGGTTTCACCGGTTCGGGGAAGACCACCTTGGTCCGGCAGCTCTGTCATGATATCGATGTCCGAGGTAACCCTGTCTCTATAATCCTGCATCCACATACAAACCCATATATATACATATCCAGAGGATAGATTCACCTTGAAATTCTTCTACACATGTCCGTTCATCTTCTGAGCTCATGATAGGCTACCTAAATTTAATGTTGAGATTTAAAATTTAAAAATTTTATTTTTATTTTATATTTATCAAAATAAAAATTATAAAAAATTTAATAAATTTGCTCGTCACTCATCTAGACAATTTAAATTTAATTTATTTTTTTTATAATTTTTAGAAATTATCCTTCTTGTATCTTTTTTATTTTGTTTTATATTTTTCACTTATTTCTGTTGTTTCTAGTCATGCCCATAGAACTTAATTTCTTTGATCTTTTTTCTATTGTTTTCTCATAATTATCTTTTGTTGATAAAATTTGCTTTTGTAACAAAATCAGTAGATTTTTTCTGAACGGTTTAAATTTAAAATTTTTAACTTACAATGTTTTTGAAAAATATTTTTAGTGCAGTTTATCTTCATTTTTAATATTGTAAGTACCAAAACAAAAATTTATAAAAAATATTAATATTAAATTTGAATCTTCTAAATCAAATCTGGATTGTTCGCATGGGTGACATAAAGAATTATTAAAAGAATTATAATTTTTTATTTTGATCAATATAAAATAAAATATAAAGTAAAAGTTTTAAATTGAAACAGTCCAGATGTTAATAGGGATGATCAGCACCATGAACATGAAAGATGAGCTCAGATGTCATGAGTCAAACCAGGCGACTTTGGTTTTTTTTTTTTTGTAAAATAAGTGACTTCCTTTGTGTTATATTAAAATTACTAATACTTTTTATTTATATTCAAAATATACATTTTAGTTTGATTTTTAATGCCAATTTTTTATGTGTAATGATGTTAAAAAAATTAAAAATTATTAGTTTTTTTATAATTTATTTGCCTATTCTCTCCCTTTTATTTTAAAGGACTTTAAATAATTTAAAATATTTTGTTAACATTAATAATTTTTTTAAAATAAATCTAAATTACATTGATGAATTTATGTTTTATTATATTAAATTTACATTTCATTAAAATTTTTAACATGTGCTTGAAATATTATTTTATCCAATTTATGTCTTTAAATTTATTTAAAAATTTAAAATAAGAATAAAGGGATAACAAAACTTTTAATCTCTCAATATTTTCAGTTATTAATTTGGTCTCTGGTCTCTCAAGTTTGAATTTTATCTATTTAGCGCTTGTCTGGATTTTAGTTTATATCTGACAAAAGTATATTTAGAAGATTCAACTATTTATTAAATTTGGCAAAAGGACATCCCAAATGTGGTTGGGAATTGGGATGTGCTTTTGAGGATTATTCAAATAAGCCTTTAGTCATTTAAATTTTCTTAAATTATCATGTTAGTTTTCTAAATTTTATAACGTAATTGATGTTCAAATTAATCTAATAGGAAAAAAGTATGTTAATTCTTTTGTTTTTTCAAATTTTTTAGTTTGCTTTTTACTTATGTAATTACACTTTTTCATTAATTTATTTGGTTTCCATCAACATGTTATTTTTCATATCAGTAAATTTTAACAGTGTTACTTTTTCTTTAAATAATAAGAACAAAATCAATAATTGAGGTAAATTATGAGATTAAATAAACAACTATTACACTTGAAGAACTAAATTGATAATTAAAACAAATTTGGAGACTAAAAATTTCATTATTTCAAGAATAAAAATGTAAACAAAGTATACTTTTATAGTTCTATTTATAGGGTTGAGAGAAAATAATTGCTTTAGTCTTATTTATAAAACACTTTAATAAGTATTGTGTCTTTCTTTACTCTCTTGTCCTTATTAAATATTGAGAATGTTATTAAATGTTAGAGTATTTAATTTTTTTAAGTATATATATTTAATAGGGATAAAGTTAAAAATTTATTGAACTTTTAAATAAAGTTAAAGAGATTTAAAGTTTTCATTGATTTTTAGAAAAAATGTGAAAAATAATTTATAAATAAAACTGCATGAAGTATGCGTTAATTTTTTTACGTAATTTAAATGATGTTCAAATAACATCTATGTTTAATAGAGAGAGGCATTTTGATCCCACATCTATAGCTTAACAATCATCAAACAAACATTGACTAGGGGAGGAATTCGGATAGGTTTTACAAATAAAAGAGGAGTTTGTGTAATTAAAATAAAACAAAGCAAGGGTTGGTGTTTGGACGAAAATTTGAGTAACCAAGGCCCAACCTAATCCACTGAAAAAAGCAGCGCAGCAATGAACCAACTCCATAGAGTTGAGTGAACGTTGCATTTAGGCAGGAAGTGATGCACGAGAGGACATACCCTCGACCACAAAATGGGGTGGATAGGTACCTGTTCTTTATTGTGCCAAAGTTAAATACATTGCCATTTTTTTATAAATCGGCAATAAGTGCAAGACTAAAAGACTCTTAACACTATCAAACTTACACAAAACTTGTTTAGTGTAAAACACCAATCCTGACCTTGGTCAACCAATCTTGCCCAAGACAAACTATCTCTTTTGTGCAAGTTTGGCTTCTTAGGCTAGTTTTGCATATGTATTTTCCCCTCTGTCTTCGCGAAGCACCCCAATGTACTCACTTCACCTGTAATTCCATCGAGCTTTATGCTAAGCACGATGCATTCTTTATTGTTCTCACATACACTTGACTTTTTAAGGAAATTGTTGTAAAAGATATTAGGAATTTGCTTGCTTGTCTAATTCGATTCATATTTTTGAAGGCTCACTTTTTTGACACGTTTGGTGCACATCCTAAAGGTCACAATGCTTTGACCTCTTTCCTGAAAATCAATGCAAAAGTTAGTATACTTTATTATTTTTTATTAATCTCATATGAAATTATATATATTTCCATTAAAAATAAAAATATTTTTCAATTAAACATCATAAAACATATTCATTGCGATTTTAGTTTAATTTTTAGTTTTGTAGGAAGTTGGTTAAAATTAAATTGTTAACAACAACGCAAATTGAGCTCAATACCCTGAAAACAAAATTTCGAAACATTCCCAAATTCTATAACCTATAATTACTCAAAAAGCAAGTCCTCGTCCTAGCATACTATATATGACGTTATATAAGGACTGACATTCAAAAGTCTGTTGGGGCTGATCTGGAAGAACAGGTTGGTTCAGCATATCCATTTTGTGCCCGAATGTTAAAAGATTGAAAGCGATGGAGACTTGGCTAAGCAAATGGAACGCGAGTTCGGTTAAAATGGGAGCGAGACGGTGTTGCTGGTGCTGGATGATATGGAGCCCGGCTCAGAACAACTTGTTACCAGGTGGAGTAATGAGATGTCATCAAATACTAAATCCAAGATTTTGGTTTTCAAAAGCTACTCTCCAAGGTTTGGGCATCCCAGTGCAGATGACGCCATTGCGTGAAGAAGATGCCATCGCTCTTTTACGTCATTTTGTTCAACCAAGTGGCACGACCTCCTACACTTTCCTCCCTGACAATGACACTCTCCTACGGGTCGTACAAGTCTGTGGATGTTATCCGATGGCCATCAAAATAATTGGCCGGGATCTCCAGGGCCAGCCCATTGAGTTCTGGCAGAAGAAGTTGAAACAATGGTCGAAGAAAGGTCATACTGATACAGAGTTGCTTGCTCATCTCCGTCGTTCCTTGAGAGTTTCCAAAGAATTTCAAAACATCAGGGAATTCTTCATGGACCTCGGCTTATTCCCCAGAAATAAAATGATCCCCGTTACTGCCTTGTTTGACATGTAGATAGAACTTTACCAAGAAGTCGAGGATGACATAGATGCCATGATCCACATCCACTATTTGACCAACATGAATTTGGCTGAAGTGGTTCGAAGGTAATTAGTATATTAAGCTACCACTACATTGAAAAGCAAAAAAAATTGGTAATCTATTTATTAGGCGATTTATTTCACGCACCCACACACCGATGACTTGGAACAAATTAATTTATATGCGTACTCTCGTGGTCTTGTGAATCAACCAGGCGAATTGGAAGTGATGAAGACAATTACTACAAGAATCACTTCTTAACCCAGCATAGTATTCTGAAAGAGCTGGCTAATAAATATTCAATCGAGCAGGGGGAAGCATTCGAGAGGAAAAGACTAATTGTTGAAATAAGTGGGAATGAACCTCCAGAACGGTGGCAACAGAAACAGCCGCGGCGAATGATCTATGCCTACTTGCCATTGTTGAAAGGACCAACGCAGCAAAGGGTAGATGCTCGTATATTATCCATTTCAACAGGTTTGTGCTTCTCCCATAGTTTCTTTTTCTGCTTCTTTCTCTTCCACTTGATTGGTGATGTATTGCAGATCAAGAGGTCACTCCAGATTCGTGGGTAATTCAAGCGGCCCAAGCTGAGGTTCTGATTTTAAACCTTAAGACTACCGAATTTACATTGCCGAGATTCATTAGGGAAATGAGAAACCTGAAAGTTCTCATCCTGATCAATTATGTGGATCGCTGGTTCACTAAATTCAAAAACTTCGAGCTGATTAGTTTTCTACAGACTCTCAGGAGAATCAGATTGCAGCAGGTTTCAGTTCCATGCCTCTGGGAATCCAAGAACCTGCACAAGTTAACGCTTTACATGTGTGAAGTGTCCGCAGCTTTTGAGAACAGTTCCATGAAGTTCCCAAATTTGGTAGAGCTGAACATTGAGCATTGCAAAGATTTGGTGAAGCTGCCTGATGGGCTTTGCGACATTGAAACCCTAGAGAAGCTCAGCATCAGTAATTGCTCTAAGTTTATGGAACTTCCGCAAGAAATTGGAAAGCTGAAGAACTTGATATTACTACGGATTAGTTACTGCGTGGAGATCAAGGAACTACCAGAGTCAATCACAGAGCTCGAGAGCCTAAGCTTTCTTGACATATCATTCTGCCTGAACATCAAGAAGTTACCGGACAACATCGGTGAGTTGAGGAGTCTAACGAATTTGAACATGTCGGATTGCTCTATAAGTAGTCTGCCTGACTCGGTGACGAGATTGACACATTTAAAGAGGGTGACATGCGATGGATATACATGTCATCTTTGGGAAGTTATCCAGCGGTCCCGAAGGCTTTAAACTCATGGTTGAGACGGACAAGAGCGTTACCTTAAATTGTATTCGGGTTGACTTTGAAGCAGATGACGAGGGTGGCATAACCATGAAAATGGATAGAGATGATTATTCATAACTGGTGAATGCATTTTTCAGCCCCGAAGAAGAAAATAAAAAAGTTTTGCATTCTATGCACTAGCTGCCAAACAGTTGTGATTTGGCATGCCTTTATGTTTATGTAACTGTTTTTTGTTTTTTTTTTTTTTTTTTCATTTTCCTTTTCTTGTTCGTTGTCTGAATGAATCTCCTGCTGTGAATTTGTACAAGAATGTTGGCTGACTATTACTAGACAACTAATACTCAGAAGCCAGCCTCCGTTTCTAATATGGGATCAGCGGGATGCAACTTTTCAGGATCTTTCCAAATTCATTAATTGACCTTTCCTTTGCACCAAAAAATATAGCCACAACCAAAAAAAAAACACAGAGAAAGAAGAAATTAATTTGTTTGAAAAATCAGATCACTAGAAAAAAAAATGGTAATTGCTACGATTTTTTTCCTTCATTAGCTACAGTTTAAACCGTAGAAATGATAATATCCTCCAGTTCTTGAAAACTGTAACAATATTTATCCTAAGTAATTTTTTAATGAACTGTGGAATACCTACAGTTCTGACAGGACCATGGAAAGAGTCACAATTGTGTCATAGTTGTGGCTGTATCCAAATTTTGGCTTTTCTCGCAGTTTTTAAAAAACAGCGGGAAATGATGACGTAAGATTAAAAAAATACTTTGATATTATTATATATATAAAAAAATTGTCTAAATGTAATTAAAAAAATCCATGATTCAATTAATATTTTAATTAGTCTAGAAAATTAAAATCTAATCCCACATCACTGATTAAGTGCTGGTTTTATGATTCTGTAGCTTGTGGTTTAATTAACTCACTCCAAACATATTAATTTAATCTGATGAGAAATTAATATAAGAAGCATTGATTAATATTAAAAATGAGTAAATTTATCAAAATATGATCCATAATTTACCTAGTCATATATATATATATATTGCGCAAACTGAAGATCCTATATTACATTAAAGAAGATGAAAGAACAAGGATTTCAAACACATTACCAGAGCTTGCATCTTCGTAGAGTAACAAGTTGGTAAAGAAAGAGGAAAAATTACATATCTAATCTGGTACAAAAACTGTGTGCACCATATAAAGGAGGAAAAATTCTTAAAGAAAGAGGCAATCTTTTTTAACTCTGTACAGTACACCTTCAACTCAAAAAAAAAAAAAGATGAAAGAACAGAAAAGATAAGAATATCAAAAAGATAAAAGCATAGAAGAAATATATTAGAGAATGAGAAAAAAGAAAGGCGGATGAAAAAGTTTTACTAGTGAAGGACCATAAAAGATAAAATAAAGAAAAAATATACCCAACAACAAAGAAAATAAAACGCAGATGAAGAAGTTTTAAAAGATAAAGAGGTAGAACTTTACTTTAGAAGATGAAAATAGAGGCTGAGTGTGCTTCCGCGAGCAGCAAGAATCAGGTGCACAATTAGTGTGAATGGAAAAATGAGAGAGAAGATCTAAAGCAAATAAAAAACAAAAGAGCAAGTACAAATTAAAGAGAAATATCTGGATGCTCCCAAGGATTGTCAAAACTGTGAGAAAATATTTATCAAAATATTTTCCCATGATTTCTAACAAATTCGGGAGACTTTCCACATTTTTGTCAAAAAGCGTGGGAAAAGCCACGATTTATAAAAATTGTGAAAAAAAATTGTGGAAAATGCATGGTTTTTTTTGGCAATGAATTGGTTATTAAATGGATAAATGAACTGGTTTGAATTAAGATCCGATTGCGTTGCGGTATTGCAGTAAAATAGAAAGGGAATAATTTGGAAAATATTCCATCAAAGGTATCAATTGGTCAAGGAATCGAGAGGTAAATAGCTAGGAAGGGAAAGCTAAACTTTGCATGAAGCAGTGGACTTTTCCATGTCTGGTTCACTAAAATTATTTCTAGAAAGTGAAGCCTTATACTTTCTTCACAACTATGAAAGAAATTTATTGCCTCTTTGGTTTTAATTCCCATTTTTTATTTTTTAAAACACAATCATTAATCCCTATAAGTTTTATTAATATGTTTTAATGCTTGTACTTTTTTTTTCAGTATTTTCAATCCTTATAATTTCATAAAGATTGGTGACCTTTATTTCTTAAGTCCCTATAGTTTCAATTTTTTCATTGTTGTTAGTCCCCATAAGAACTAAAAACATTAAAAAAATTACAGACACTAAAAGTCAAACTCAATGAAACTAAAAAAATTAAATATTATATTTTTTTAAAAAAACTAATTTTTTACACATTTTTTAAAATTATGTTCAGAACAAAACAAAATGAAAATCTGTTTAGTTATATTAATTCAAAAACAGTTATAAAATTAAAAAAATAGGCCGATGTTAATGGTTTGCAGGAAGTAATTGGGATGGTTTGTGATAAAAACTATATTCTAATAATAAATATATTTTGTTTTGAAAGCAAGAAAAATAAAAATAACTTTAATTTTTTTATTTTTTATTTTTAAAATAAAAAATGAAAATAGAGTTTTTGAAATAAATAAATTTAAAACTCTTATTCAAATGAGTTATTATTTTTTT